CACACACACACACACACACACACACTAAATAAATAAATAAATGTTAAAAAAAAAAAAAACCTAGAAGGTGGCAAACCACTAAGTAGAATTCAGCCAAGAAATAGAGAGATGATTCAAAGTACCCAAATCAGTAAATGTAGTACACCATATCAGCAGAGCCAAAGACAAAAATCATATGATCATCTCAATAGAGTAGAAAAATCTTTTGAGAAATTCCAACATTCATTCATGATAAAAAAAAAAAAAAAACGCTGCAGAAAATCAGAATAGATGGTCTTTATCTCAACCTGACAAAAGCCATCTGTGACAAACCAACAGCAGACATCATACTCAATGGACAAAAACTGAAAGCATTCGCTCTAAAATCAGGGGCAAGATATGAATGTCCACTACCACCACTCCTACTCAGGGTAGATGTGGAAACATTAGTGAAAACAATTGGACAAGATATAAAAGTATAAGGAGTATGGATAGGAAAGGAAGAAGTTAGACTATAATTATTTGCAGATGACATAATGCTTTATATGAAAGACACCCAAAACCCCACCGAAAGACTTTGAGATTTAAGAACCAAATTCAATAGCATAGCTGGATATAAAGCCAACACTCAAACACCAAACTCACTAAGAGAGAAATTAGGGAAAGCACACCTTGTCAATAGCATCCCCCCCACAAGTTAAATATTTAGGAAGGAATCTAACAGAGGAAGATATATATTACTCTGGAAAAGAAGATGAAAGAGAATATTAGAAAAAGGGAATGATATCCCTTGCTCATGGATAGTAAGAACCAACGTTATAAAAATGGCCATACTCACAAAATTGTTATACAGATTAAATGCAACCCTAATAAAACATGATTTGCATATATCATAGAACTAGAGAGAGCATTCCAAAAATTCAACTGAGAATAGACAAGACCTAGAATAGCAAAGGCAATCCTGGGCAACAAAGGAAAAGAAGAAGGCATCACAATCCTTAACTTGAAATAACACTACAAAATTATTGGGATAAAATCAGGATGGACCTGGTTTAAAAAAAAAAAAAGCTGGTCTGAGGACCAGTGGAACAGCTTAGAAGTTGAAGACACAGCTACAAATACAGTAACCACCTTATCTCTGACAAAGGAGCCAAACATCTTTATTGAAAGAAAAAAAGACAGCCTCTCTAATTAGTTATTGGTGTTAGAAAAACTGGATCTCTGCATATCAAAAACTAAAACTAGGACCATGTCCACCATCATGAACTAAACTAAAGATAACATGAATCAAAGATATAAATATTAAAACAGAAACACTCAGTTTACTGGAAAAGAAAGTAGGTAAAAATCTTGAAGATGTAGGGATAAGCACAAAGTTTATGAACAAAACCCTGACTTCTCAGGAAATACTTCAAAGAGCAATTAGCATATCAGCTTATTAAACTGCTTTTGCACAGCAAAAGAAATCACCAACAAAGTGAAAGGACAACCCAGAGTGGGAAAAAAATTTAGCCAATTTTCCATAAGACAAGACAAAAAATCTAGAACATATAAAAATTGAAAAACAATCAGATCCCCCAAATTCAAAGACTCAATTTAAAAAATGGAAATCTGAGATGAATACACACTTCTCAGATGAAGAGATACAAATATCAAATAAATATATGAAAAAATGTTCAGCATCATTGGTCACTCAAGAAATGCAAATTAAAGCAACACTGAAACTCTCTCACCCAAGAAAGAATGGCTGTCATCAAGAAATCAGCCAATAACAAATGCTGGAGAGGCTGTGGGGAAAGAGGGACCCTTCTCCACTGTTGGTGGGAGTGCAGACTGGTGCAAGCACTGGGAGCTCAGTGTGGAGATTCCTCAAAAGCTAGGATTAGAGGTCCCATTTGATCCAGCTTTTCTCCTTCTGAGT